CGTTATTTTTTTAATTTTTTTTTTAGATACAGCGGTAAGCATGCTAAGTATTTGTCAAAATCTAGATGGTCTTTTATTTCTTTTTTTTTAAATGCAGCGGTAATTATAAGTATCTGTCAAAATCAAGTCGGTCTTGGATGATTGTTACTTCAAAATCAATTTTCAGAAGAACAGCCGATCAGACTAAACATGACATCCGACGAGATTTATACACATTGAGAAACGGATAAGATTAACAGATTATCAGTGTACAGTACACCGACTGGTCAGACAATAGACCTTAATTAGGTGTCCCCCGTCCCCGGTTAACTAACAGGGAACTATACACACACAACGTACACTTAGAACTAGATTTTGATGATCAATTATTTTTACAAAATTTAAATTTAACGCAAGCAATTAACAAATTAAAAATTATGATTCATCGTAAAAAGTCAATTATTTTGATACCCATTATGATACAGAAAGAATTGAAACTGAATATGATATTCTAAAAAAAGTTTTTGTAAACGTAATTAACCAGGTAACTCAAGATTACGCGAGGATTGACACTAAATTGTTGACACAGAAACCGTTTATAACTGCAGTACATGTATATATATTTAAAAAAACAGGAAAATTTGTTTTTCGTCTTTCTTTTTCGATGATATATTTTTGCGTTTTATCTGTAATGAATTTATTTTCAATCATGATTTAAATGCTTACATGTATAAATTTTTCGAATAACACAGCGAAGAAATCCATCACATCACATCAATCTAAAATCCGAACTCAATGTTGATATATTAATGTGATAAAAGCCTTTCAAAAAGATCCACAAATAATATTGTTTTTATATTGATGAATTTATTAATTCAAGATTGTTTGAAACGTTCAACAAAATACTACTAATTACTTTTCCTTGTCCAAAAAAATTTTGAAAAAAAATAAAGTTAAATATTCAATATTTTTCTCTACATGCAAGAGCGGCGATAGCCTAATGGATATGGCGTTCGCCTTGAAAACAGAAAGTCATGGGATCGCGCCCCTGCAGCGGCGATTTTTTTTTTTTTTTGGAATTTTGAATTTCGTTCTTTTTACAATATTTTTAACAAATCAAGATATCTGCGAACTCTTCATTTATAATATTGATAACAAATCACTCCAAAAATAATTTTTCACCCATAAAAACAATATCATCGACGGTGTAATGTGAATTAATGGTGGCTAAATGGTGGCTTAATGGTAGCTTAATGGAGTTTGGACATTAAGCACCTGTAAGTCTACCTTAATGGTGGCTTAATGGTGACTTAATGGTGGTCTAAAAGTAACCATTAAGGACCTGTAAGCCACCATTAAGTAACCATTAAGCCACCATTAAGCTACCATTAAGTTAGAAATTTGGCTTAATGGTGGCTTAATGGTTACTTAATGGAAGCTTACTGGTGGCTTAAAGGTGCTTAATGGTGGCTTAATGGTGGTTTAAAGGCGGCCTTTAAGCCACCATTAAGCACCTATAAGCTACCATTAAGTCAAGCTTAATGGGAGCATTTCATCTTGTGAAATATACAATTTTTTTAAAAGCTGAATCAAATGCCTTGCTCATTTTCCCAGTTTTTCAGGTCATGATTTTATTAGTTAATTCATAATTTGAAATCTGAAAAGTACACTTTAATTATTCATAAATTACTGATTTAACATGTATATATCTAGTCTAAATTGCCTTTATACTAATACAGTGTACTTATATATTTATTCTTTCATTGCAGCCCCCCCCCCTTTCCTTCTAATATTTTTTAACAAATGAGGACATAATTAAGCAAAGAAAATGCATATGTAGTTGAGCGTTTAAATTTACATTGATATACCATACTTTACAAAATCCTTATGTCGTGTTCATTAATAAAAGCGCAAGCCCCTGCCCCTTAATGCTGTCTCTTGGTCAGTGTTTTGAAGGCAAAGGTTGGACAAGTAAAATCAATTATCAAAAATAAATTGATGGGAACTAAAATATTTTTTGTTGTTGCTGGTTTTGAAAGATTTGGGCTGAACTTAAGCGGTAAAATTGAAAGTGAATTTTACTTACTAAAAGACCTATCAATTATTTGTGATGTTTCCTCTAAGTCAGCGAATCATAGGACTATTTGAACTCCATTGGCATATTTTCAATTAATATCAGAAAAGAATGAACTGAACTTTTTCATAAAAAAGAAAAAAATATATATTTACAACAAATTAAACATATATATATATATATATATAATATATATTTACAACAAATTAAACATATATATATATATATATATATATATATATATATATATATATATATATATATATATATATATATATATATATATATATATATATATATATATATACATATTAAGCAGAACGGCAATACAATACTTAGTTTTTCGTATAAGTAATTCATGTTTTTATTACGTCGCTATGACGTCGAAAAAAATTATAAAATATGACATCGGCCATATAAATGATGCATATTTTGAATACCTATAAATCCGTAACGGAGCAAGATACACCTGTAAAAATTACAGGTTATATTTACCTAAGGTTCTACATCATTTTTCAACAAAATAGTCATTTTCGAAAATTTTTGACATAAGGGGGATTTTTGCTTGGAACGGCTCAAATGGTAAAATTAAACGAGTTTATCAACGGATATTCGACTATCGCTGCAAATATCAATTAGCAATAATCACTGCTTTAATCTTTAGTATTAGTCTGCATTAAAATTCCATTCGATTAAACTGATCTGGTAGTTTTGATGGAATGACAAGTAATGCATATAATATTAAATGCAAACATGGCAAGTCGACGTCGACCTAATGTTTATTGTCGGCACTTCTATTTCATTGCACCCTTTAATTTTTACTTTCATGAGTTTTTTATCTTTACTACCAAACTTGATATGATCCACCTTGATTTGAGTTATAGCGTGAAATTATTTTAACTTTGTCCATTGTACTTATTTTGAAATTCTAAATTAATTCTTTTTGCATAAATCCTACGCATCATCAAATTAGAAATAAGTATCCAACAAAAATGTCAAATAGGCATCGTTACATTCGAGATAAACGAGACCAAAGATTTTGTTCATCTTAATATTTAATAAAGTATTGCATTTCAATATATCTGAATGAAATTTTCAATGCAAAAGTCAAAACAGAAACAAATATTTGTAGGAAAAAATTCGTTTAAAATATTCAAAATTTTATAGCAGTTGTGACATTAATTTCGAATCAACAATCATATTTAAAATCCATTCATGAGGTAAAAGCTATCATATATCTGTAGCATTATGGAATTTTTTAAGGTCAATGTCTGTATTTGCAATATTTTTTTTTCTAAATTTTGGTTTTAATATATTTATAATCTGTAGATTGTTGTAGAAATTTGAGAAACGGTTTTCCTGTAGGAATAGGCACACGGTCTGGCTTTCATAGCATTTCAATAAAACGAAAAGGGGACAAGCTTGTATGGAAATTGAAATAAATTTCACTTACTTCTACATGTATAAATAACGTAACTCTTATTATTGAAAATTTGGATCTTTACAGTCATTGGAAGAAGGTTGAAGCCAGGCCCGGGGGATATAAAAAACTGAGACGAGCTTACATTTGATCCATTATCAAACCCTTTTTTTGAAAAGTGAGGCTAAGATCAAAATTGAGCTCGTCTCAGTTTTATGGCCCCGGAGTCATACAAAATATTAATGGCGTACTGCTTTCTTGGTAAATATAAATAGCTAAAAACTGAAAATTTATAGCCCTGCAGCATGGTAAAGGTAAACAAAAAAGTAATCTGAAAGGTGGAACTTCAGTTGTTTAAAAAAATTGAACTATTTGAGTCACTTTTTTAAATATATATCAATCATAACAAGAAAAGTGTCAACCAAACGCGGGTATGTTAAGGAAGCATATAAGTCATTTCTCGGGAAATTTAGACTTTTTGAATAAAATTAAGTTTGATAAATTACCAAAACCGCTGATAAAGGTAAACTGTTGTTAACTATTGCATACAGATAAAAGAGTGTCTAACGCTAAGACGTACACCACCGCCACGGCATCACGGGACTTCTATCTATAGCGAAATTTTCCTTAATAAAAAAGCTAACAGAACAACAATACACCGGAGTTTAATAATTTCTTTGAGCAAATAATATACTTGAAAAACATCTATTTTGCCTAAAAAGTGCTGCTCGAATCCCACTGTCCTTTCAGTAAAATAATTTTTTTACACATAAGAACGAAACCTTACCCTACGTTTTGAATTTTATACGCATGAACCGAGATTTTTCGAAAAAACACGCTTAACTCGGGATTCTAGGAGCACTTTCCAAGTTTGACAGAAGGTAAACTTTCCAACTGTACAAATCTTATGTTTTGAAATATCCAGCTTATTGTTGTTCTGTTGCATTATTTTTGTCACGAATGACAGAGGAAAGGCCGACCGGGATACGTATAGAGCTGACTGTCTTCGAAAGAGAAAATAATTGGTAAAAAAATAAATTAGCATACCTGTTTAATCAACTGAACTCCATATGATTTTCACAGAATATTCACGGTATTTCGTTTTAAACTCCATTTTACGTATCGTTGTACATGCCGTCTAAGCCAAATTCTCTTTACACGATATGATCAATTCCAAAGTCACTTGGAGTATACATATGACGTCATCGGTGATAGATTTCAATCAAAATAACAGATACTGCATAACAAAATTAAAACATTTTATTTTCGTTAATGTTTACACGTACCTATTCATTTTCTAGAGTTAAATTACATATGTAAATACCAATATTACGAGAACTTGTGTTATAAAATTGACGTCATCTCGCCTACTATGACTTCATAATATAGCACTGATCTAGTCAAGGTAGAATATTTTGTATGCTTCCTTATTACCCCTGCGAATTATACATACATGTATTAACGAAATGTATGATAATGAAAAACAAAGCATTATCAGACATTTGTAATGCTTTGAAACAAAATTACCTTTATTGCAAAAACGGTCTTGTTGACAGACAAGCATATTTCTTGACAAAATCCTGCAGAGGGTAGTTTTTGCATATCATAACTCATTGAAAACGTCTGAAGTGCCCTTTCTGGATAGCATCCTTAAATAATATAATATAATATTTCCACAAACCTATACAACCTGACAATTTTTACTGTACCAAGTACAGTACTGCATTCCTAAATGAAGTCAAAAACCTATGCTATCGTAAATCCTGCGTCCATAATCCATTGGTTTTAACCATATCCTATCATAGTGTCGTTTGGCAAGTTCCGAATTTTGATTAGTTCCGAATTAATATCAATTTAAGAGCTGATAAGTAATAAATTCAAAAGTGTAAACATAAATTGATAACTTTGGTAAAAAGGTTTTATCATGAGTGTTTGAATTATGTTAAGATTTTTTGTCGTGAGTTTGTGTTCGTTATTGTACTTGAAACACTCGACATTATTTTGCAATGCAACAAATCTGAATCACCGCCATTCGTATGTCTGCAGAAAAACCTATGTCAAGACGTCAATATTACACAAAAACAACATTCTAGATATCAAAAGTAAGTTTGATATGTATTCTAACAAACACCAAAGGCTTATAGAAAATAAATAATTAGAACACTGCAAGAAACATTTTCGTGTGGCCATTTTCCTAGTTCCAATTATAAACAATTTCATACATGTATGTTGAATCTCCGATTTTTCTTCATTGTAAACGTATCTGTTACAATACCTCCGATAAAAGGTGGGGGTAAAAAGTGATGGGGGTTTAATTCCGTCTGTACGTTAGTCGTCTGTCTGCCTGTACTTCGGTGCCTCTGTTGTTATGCTTTGCAGTGCCCACCTATTATCCGAACTTTTCTGATACCAATGAATGGAATTTAATGAGACTTTCGTGGAATCTTTGTTACATATTGCCATTCTGCACTTCCTATTCTACTTTTTGATTTGACACTTATTTTGCTTTGTCCATAGCAAAACATGGACACTGCAATTCTTTCTATAATAGTGTAGGGTGCTCATTTCTTGTCTGAGGATCCTCTAATTCATGTACCAGTGAATAAATTTTAATGATAATTTCACAGATTCTTTATTACATAATGCCATTGTAAACCTCTTATTTTACTTTTTGATCTGACACTTATTTCCTGTCTCAAAGAGCAAAAATGGACTTTGCTATTATAATCATCTCTAATTTCTCTTTATCCTTTGGAAATACCACTAATTTACTGAAATGCAATTATTTCAAGTTTTTCCTGGCTAACGTCTTGAATTGATGTTTTTAATTTGGGTTCAAATTGCATTGGAACCACTAAGGTATTCGGAACTGGACGGCTTATTCTACACTGGTAAAATAAGCACTTATGATAGCTTGCTAAAATAAAAGTTTTTTTTTCGAAAGGCAATATTCGCTTTTTTCTCTCTCTCTCTCTGTATATACAGGTAAATACGAAAACATATCTTTTTTTTAAACCATACCTGATATTTTTATCCAGGTCGACTTCCGTCGATAATTTCCAATCCAGAAATAATCTGATGAATTATGCATAGCTTTTCTAATAAGTACGCTGTTGTTCCCTCTACATATTTCCTGCGCTTCAAACCATGTGTACCCTCTGACTTCACACATCACATTTTCTGCATAAACAATTTTTCGATTAATGAATAAAAAAGTACTAACTATTGTAAACAGCTTTATTTTTTTTATTTTTTGCTGAAATTATCACAAATCTTGTATGTTTGATGATGAAATACTATCAACATAGATCCCTTGTTGATTGAAATTATTTTTAACTTCAAATGACAACTCATCCAAATCTCTAAATAATTGAATAAATATATTTCGTAGAAAAGTGTAATGTAACTGAAATTTGATAATCAAAAAGTTAAAGTACATGCATGTAATTTGATTCCGTTTATAATTATGTTCTATAAAACGGCGATTAGATGTGAAATAAATGAATAAATTAATATATGAAATGTCACCTCTTTGGTACAGAAAAGCAATCCATGGGACAAAAACGAATAAAGCACGCATGGTTTCTGCAAATCGGTAACCTGAAATAGATCATGCAAACAACAAAATTGACAATTTAATTTTTACCATTTGACTGAAGCCTGATTTGTAAGAAACTATTTTCACTCTTACATGCATTTAATTAAGAAATAAGGTATCATTTTAAAACATTTATTGGGATATAAATACGGGTTTGTCACGAGATTAAATTCCATAAAGCCTGAATTTAATCTCGTACCAGCCCGTATTTATAGCCCGATAGATGTTTTAAAATGATACCTTATTACTCATATTGACATTTGTGACTTATTCATGCTTTATATTTGCCTGATTATGACTTTTAACGTGTGAAATGCGTTATTTTTCAAACCCAACGGCATGTATGTAATCCACTGAACGCGCGTCGACCCTTTATGACGTCACAGAGAAATAACGTCAAACGTTTATCCATACGCACATCTATGACCTCTTGACCCCGTACCCGTATTTATACAGTTATAGATACGCTTAGCTTTCAGTGGTGTTATATAAACGGAAACATTTGCAAATGTAAATATTTCGATTTAAAACACGAACAGACTTCAATCCTGTGACCTTTGGTTAATAAATTAAAACATAAATCACGCATTACATGTATGCATTACATTGATTTGTTTGTTTATTTAAAATTTATGATTAACTACATAAAAATATGGTCCGATGTCTTAGCTAGTGAGCAAGCCTAGAAAAAAATGTTTCCTTTATAATCCATATTATATATAAAAATTCTATCTATGTTTCTAATGCAAACATATAAACACATATATAAAATTCTATGTTAATGCTTTTGTCCATTGTCGTACAGGTATAATTGTAGGCATTTAAAGGAACATCAAGTATACGTGTCGATTTAAAAAGATTAGACAGTATATAGGGAGAACGCAGATGCCATAATATGTTTGATATGACAGTGGAATAACGAAGTGAATAACAAAAAAGATAATACATGTACAGTTTAAATTCTCATAGTTTCAAAAATTATTTATAAAATCCCCTTACGGTTACAAGCCCAATTACAGTAACCACCCAATAACTATGACGAACTATGAATGAATTTAGAACAAGACAAGTTTTTGAACTCATTGCTAATCTTTTTGACACTTTGTCAATAAAATATGTTTAAATTAATTCAAATTCATGACATAATTTCTAGATCCTTAAAATGCATTTGCTTGAAAGTAACATTCAAGATTTAAGTTTCATGAAACTATTAACATAGAAATTTGTATAGATGGATTTCAACTTCAATGTATGCAACGTTTAAAAGTAATGTACTGCATTTTGTTTTAATATGAACGTTTTTTAGGGATAGTCTTACATATCAGCATTGGATTATGTACTTACATGTAAATACATGCTTATTCAAAAAAATTCATATCATGCAATAGATCAATATTTTGTCGATTAAATATTTTAAAAAAAAGCTGAATCAATCCAACATTTGTTTTTCTTTTATTTCTCTTTTTATAAGGAGGTAAATTTACTCACAGTTTTCCTTTTCTCTTACAGAGATACGAGTTTTTATTTGTGCTCAGTCATATCCTTCCTTAAAAAAAGAAAATACCTTCCTTGTTGTTGTTTCCTATGTTAAGGTATGGGTTTCACGGAGGAATGACTTTGTGAGCCGGAAGTTTTTAATGCAAATTGTAAAGATACACAAGAACGAATAGCTTACTGCATGTTTAAAGGTATCATTATTTAACACATGAGTGCGCTTTTACACGATTATTTATTAGTTTCGTTTTGTTTGTTAGGAGTGCCTACTCAAAGGTAACTAGATTAAATTCCAGTTTTGTTAATGCAGAAATACAATTATCCCCTCACAGTCTATGAGCTAGCCCATGAATTTTTCAGTATCGGTAACATCCTGATTGAATAATTTTCAGTCATTTTAAAAGAACATAATCTTCCCTGCATCTGAAAATAGTTTCCTCTCCCTGGGAATCAAAAAAAAAAAAAAAAAAAAAAAAAAAAAAATTAAAAAATTCCATCAAACCAAATCCCAAACTTCAATTTGTAACGTGCTTTCGATTTTTTTGAAAAGCGATTTAGAGATGAATTGTATAAGAAATTGTGTCTTTTGTTATATTTTTGAATAAAAATCAAACTCTGGTTCTTTTCACTCCCTCTCTTTTTCATAACTCTTTGATTCAATGTCTAGAAAGGTTAATATTACCTGCAAAATATAATCAATTCTACATATTTTAATTATGTAAGCTTCTACCATTCTTTAAGTAAAAACAATTATCTAATAAACAGTATGGATTATCTTATGTGCTCATATTTTATTAAGCATTAA